TTGCCCAGGCTGGAGTGCAGTGGCACGCTCACGGCCACCCCAGCGTCAACCCACTGGGCTCAGGCGATCCTTCCACCTCAGCCTTCCAAGTAGCCAGAACTACAGGCATGCGCTAGCACACCCAGCTAATTTTTTGATATATGGTAGCGATGAAGTCTCACCAAGTTGCCCAGGCTGGTCTCAAACCCCTGGGCTCAGGTAGTCCTCTTGCCTTGGCCTCCCGAAGTGTGGGGATTACAGGCTTGAGCCACTGCGCCCAGCCTGGGGTACTTTTATTATCCCCATTTTTTTTTTTTTTGCACAGAAAATATAGTTTATTTAAAAAATAAATTAGAAAGAGAGAAAGAGGAAATTCACCTCTCCAAGGTAGGGAAGGGGCCAAAGCTGAAGAAAACATGGCCACATCATAACTCAGCAAGGCAATGGCTGCAATGACTTGGCAGTGACCTCTCCCCATTTTACGGATGAGAAAATTAAGATTCAGAGAGATTAAGTGACTTACTGTAGACTACCATGTTGTTCCATGGGGGAATTTGTGTGCCCATCCGCTACTGTATTGCTTTATTGGTGACTGTAGGGAAGGCGTTTTTCTCCTTTTTGTTTAAGTTGGAATCTTACTCTGTTGTCCAGGGTGGAGTGCAGTGGCACGCCCAAGACCATTGCAGTCTCGACATGCTGGGCTCAGGTGATCCTTCTGCCTCAGCCTTCCAAGTAGCTGGAGCCACAGATGTATGCCACCGTGCCTGGCTAATTTGTTTTTTTTTTTTTAATTTATTGTAGAGATGAGGTCTTGCCAAGTTGCCCAGGCTGGTCTCAAACCCCTGGCCTCAGGCAATCCTCTCGTTTCGGCTCTCGAAATGGTGGGATTAAAGAAATGAGCCGCTGTACCTGGTCATTTTTCTCCCTTCTCAAGAGGCCATCCCAAATTTAGAGAGGAGATATTGAGGTGACTGATTGCGCTCTCTTTACAGAAAATGCAACAGATTTGGGCCTGGGACGGAAGTCATACATTCGCAGCCTTTGGTACAAATCCAACTTCTAGACATCGCGTTTGGCCTGCACAGTATTAAAATAGACTTTTGAAATTAGTTGCCAACATTCAACAAGAATCTGGAGAGTCATATAAAATAGGCTGGCTCTCCTGACCCATGTTTTTGACTGGCTACAGTCAGCAGAAAATGAGTAGCAGCTGACTCCATGTGCCCCAGTCTCCATCGTGCCCTACTGCCTTCCTGAGTGTTACTGTTTACTATTAGGTTTGCACATCTTTTTAATATAATTTGGTCATTTAGCTCTTTTTTTTTTTTTTGGTGTCAATTCTTATTCTTTTTTTTTTTTTGAGTTGGAGTCTCACTCTGTCGCCCAGACTGGAGTGCAGTGGCCGCTCCTGGCCACCGCAGCCTTGACCTGCTGGGCTTCGGTGATCCTTTCCGCCTCAGCCTTCCGAGTAGCCGGAATTACAGGCGCGTGCTACCACGCCTGGCTAATTTTTGATTTATTGTAGAGATGAGGTCTCGCCAAGTTGCTCAGGTGGGTCTCGAACCCGTGGGCTCAGACAATCCACTCACTCAACCTCCCAAAGGCGTGGGATTATAGGCTGAGCCACCGAGCCCAGCTAGAGTCTTATTCTTTTGCCCAGACTGGAGTGCAGTGGCATGCTCGTGGCCACCACAGCCTTGACTTGCTGGGCTCAGGCGATCTTTCTGCCTCAGTCTTCTAAGTAGCTGGAACTACAGGTACATACCACCACACCTGGCTAATTTCTTGATTTATTGTAGAGATGAGGTCTCACCAAATTGTCCAGGCTAATCTCGAACCTGTGG